TCTTTTTTGTTCCTCAATGTACCAAAAACCCCATATCTAACATGTTTAATGCAAAAAAAATATATTTTTCAAACATTATTGTGATTTAACCACTCAAGGTTAAATCCGTTTATCAAAGTGCCATTAAGCTTTTTTAATATTTCGATTTTTGGACGTATCCTTCCGGTCCTGGCCTTGTATTAGTGCCATCCTGTTCTCGGGGTTTATGGGGTATTAGCCAAACCCAAGCACTAAAACCTGTGACGTCGAGCGCAAAAAAACAAGTTTCTGCAAAATTTCAAGTTTCTGCAAAATTTAAATGAGTGTGTGTATTTCATAACGAGCACCCCAAGGCAACGACAATGCCATAAAGATAGCATGCGTCGACGCTTTTACCAAGAAGGTGCGCCAAGCGCAATGATAGGGCCAAGGCCAGCCAAGGAGATGGTCAAACTAGATCCAGTGGAAACCACAGGCACCTGAAGTATGGATAATACCCCCCCTTTTTTAATATAAAAAATGTAAGAGTGTATAATACCTCAAAAAAATTTCCCCGTCAAACACATCAATGTCGTTATATCCAAGCAGATTGTACTTTTTCTCACATTTAAAGAATTACCCTATTCGGTATAATAAAAATACACGAGGTAAGAAACAAAAGTTGTAAACAAACAGGGTTTTCCCGCTTCGAGACAGATTTCCAAGGTAATAACAGTGTTATCTATCATAACTTTGCAAACTCTCTGTGTGGGAGATGTTCTTTTACTAGTCTCGTAAACCTAAACCACGCTATTAGTGTTTGATATGCCGTAATCGAACGATTTATTAATCAGATACATAAAAGTTTCTCCATTGGCAGCGTTGGAGGAGGTTTTGGAGTTGCTTTATCTGATTGGTTAATTGTAATACAGTTTAAATATCTAACCATGGCGGCCTCAGCTACCAGGAGACCCACGGCACCAAGTTCAACTATTAGAGCACTTTATACCCAATCACATAGGCCTCAGTAATATTGCAGCATGCCCTATTAATGTACCGAGATTAGGCGAATTATTAGCAAATTACCCACTTGGCTTGGTAGCCTTAGAACTTTTGCAGGGTTTTACGTATGGATTTAGGTTGTGTTACGAAGGTCCTCGAGTGGCCACTGACTGTAATAATCTTAAATCCATGTTTGGGTTACAGTATGAAGCTATTCAGTTGGTCGTTAATGAAATCATGTTAGGCAGAGTTGCAGGTCCATTCGATCAGCCCCCTCTACCTAACCTTAGGTTGTCTCCAGTGGACATGGTAAAAAAGGGGGGTTCCTACAGATTGCTTCATCACTTGTCCCTACAGGATCTAGCGTAAATGATTTTATTAGTAAGTAGCATTGCTAAGTTAATTACTCGTCATTTGACGATGCATTAGACATGCTTGCAAAATTAGGTCCAGGCGCACAAATTGCTAAATTAGACATAAAAAATGCATTTAGGTTATTGCCAATTCACAGATCAGATTATGAATTATTAGGCTTTAAAATTCAGGGGTATGATATTTGTAGATAATTGCTTGCCATTTGGATGTTCTGTAAGCTGTTCCAAGTTTGAGTTTTCTACCTTTTACGAATGGGTACTTAAACAGCAGGCCAAAAGCAACAATGTGGTTCATTATTAAGATGATTTCTTGCAGGTAGGGACGGCAGCCAAGATTGTGCTAGGCTTATACGATGTTTAGTTCCATTTGTCACGAATTTGGCATCCCCTTAGCGCATGAAGAAACTGTGGAACCTACAAATATTTTGACTTTCTGGGGGCTAGAAATTAACACTCAAGATAAGACAATTCGGATACCAGCAGACAAATTGGGGCAGCTTAAGGACCAGTTAATTAACTTATACTGTTATATATTATCTAAAAAGAAGGTTACATTGAAGGAGTTTCAGGCTCTTACAGGGCTACTGAATTTTTGTACAAGGGCTATCCCAGCTGGTAGGGCTTTTGTTAGAAGGCTTTTTGATGCTACTTGTGGGCTGTCAAAGCCACATCACAAGCACAGGGTCAGTTTAGAAATGAGTGCAGATATTAGAACTTGGCTACTGTTCTTGGAATGTTTCAATGGAGTCACTTCTTACAGAACTGTAGATTGGTGAAATAATTTTGACATGGAGTTGTTTACTGATAGTGCAGGGAATATCGAGTTAGGTTGTGGTGCTATTTTAGGTAAGCAATGGGCATTCATGCAATGGCCATCACAGTGGAAAGGGTAAGAGATCATTGAAGACATTACATTTTTAGAATTAGTACCAATAGCAATGGCTTTTGACATCTGGGGAGAAAAACTGACCGGCAAAAAAGTTATTCTTCACACTGACAAGCAGGCTCTGGTATCAATTCTTAATTCTAAGACATCGAAAACTATAAGGGTCATGCGTTTGCTTAGGAAGTTGGTTCTTCAGGGGTTAGTGCATAACATCCAGTTTAAGGAAACACATATCATAGGCCTGCATGATATCAAAGCAGATTCTATCTCTCGACAGCAGTGGTCACGTTTCCGTGCCAGCTTCCCAGAGGAAGAGGATCATCCAACATTAATACCCAAGTCATTTCTGCAGGTGATTTGCGACATAGAGCTCGCGAGCTCTTAAGCTATTCCATCTCCGAGAGTACAAAGAAGTTGTATAACTCAGCATTAAATGTTTTCAATGATTTTCGCAAGCATTATTTTGACACAGAAGAGTGGCCTCCCCATTACAATCAATTAGCCGATTTTGTCTCCGACCTATCGTTTAAGCAATATTCCCCAAACACGGTTAAGTCGTACATTTCTTGGATATCTATTTTTGTAAACTTCACAACCTTCCTGATCCAACACAATCATTCTTACTCAGAAAAACTCTGGTAGGGCTGGGCAGAAAATATGTCCACGTCGATGAACGTAAACCAGTCATTTTCACAATTTTCACCAGCATCCTTAATTGGCTGCCCACAATATGCAAATCTCATTATGAAACGTTGCTGTTCTCCACCATATTCTCAACAGCCCTTTTTTGGTTATTTTAGAATGGGGGAGCTGGTTCAAAATTCAGTGCATGAACCTGGTTATACCATTCAAGCCGGGGAAGTAACTTACCACAAACAGACCAATAAAGTCATCATTGTCCTTAAACACTCCAAAACTGATCAAGAGGGGAGGGGGCAAAAATTTCACTAACGGCCACTTTGCGAGCAGTATGCCCAGTGCGCCTAGTTTTATCGTTTATGCGCCTAAGACCTAGCATCCCTTCAGCATTTTTTTGCCACATCTCAGGTAGTCCAGTGACCAAGTATCAGGTGTCATCTGTTTTCAATATGGCCTTAGAAAAATTGGGTTTAAGCAAGCAAACTTATAAAACGCACTCCTTCCGCATAGGCGCAGCTTCAACTGCCTGGGCCAATGGGGCCAGTGAAAAAGACATTGCCAGTAGGGGTAGATGGAAATCTGTGTCTGTACAAGTACATTAGGAATGAACGTGTTAATAACTCTAGCATCATACATCTCGTTAATTTTTCTGTTGTCAAATCTTTGTAAGTGTAAAGAGAATATGGATCATTGGGTCTTCCATTGTTAAACATGTTAAACATGCATTTCATTTTGCCAGAAAATCAGTATTGGCACCAACTTAGAATTAGACCGGCACAATGCTACCATATTCTGGCAAGGCAAAGGGGGTATGAAGTTGGAAGACATCTTACCCAAAATTAGAACTTTACTTAAGGTAGAAAATGCTCCTCACATGTTAGTTATTCATTGCGGGGGTAATAACATTCCATGGTATAGTGGGGGGAAATCAGCTGATTTACGTTTCAGATTAAAAGAAGTGTTACAAAAATTAGCAAAATTGCTACCATCAACTTTATTAATATGGTCACAAGTACTGCTACGTCTTCATTGGAGGGGGGGGGGGGTATCAACCAGTCTGCCATGTATGGAGAGAATAAGAGTCAGAGTAAATAGTCATGTGGCTACTCACTTGTTAAAGGTCTTGGGGGAAGTACATCAGGTACCCAGAGTTACATAGGATCAACACAGGCATGTTTTCTAAAGATAAGGTTCACCTTTCTGAGATGGGTAATAACTTGTTTTGTATAGATTGCAACAGGCTTTGCAAGTCTCTTTGATTAACAACTCAGTTCACGTGTCCCCAAGAGATGGAGAAATTGGGCCATTCATGGCTGCGCCAAGACTAAGATTTTAGTTATGATTACTTTTTTATTTGCTGTCCATAGGCTATTGAGGGTCTATGTATTTGTACTGTCATGCACCAAGTAATTTTTTGCTCTTGCCCATAGACTGTTGAGGGTCTATGTATTTGTATCAACATAAAGTCTTCTTATCTTCTTGGTCATTTTATTTTACCAAGTATTGATTATTGTCATAAATAACACTATTTGGAGACATACACATTAGTCGTGTTATTATCAATTTTAAAAATACCATCCCCCCCCCCTACTGTCTGATCTACTGGTGGCGCAGCCAATGCTCAAAGCATACGCTCGTGGCGGATGTTTGGCTCACCAGTAGTGCCTAACCCATATTATTAATATATGACTTGGCGCACAATTGATTGAATTTTGCAATTATTGTCCAAGCAGGCGAGCATCTGTTTTTTCCTGGGCTCACCATTTACGCTTGTTTATTTTTGGGGGTGCCAATCAAGGCAAGAATTGATGCCGAGCTCCCTTATTTGTTTAATGAAGCCGTGGCCTATATCGCCAAATAAATATAATAATTAAAATAAGTATTTTGTTATGTTTAGTTTAAAGCCCAAGGTTAGGGCATCTTTTGATAAAGTATTTATAAATTGTTAACTGCATTAAATATCAAAGATTTATAATTTCTAGATTGTTGGTATACATCTTGTTTTTTTTTAAATAGTAAATGCAGATGTTTCACATATGGTATACCGTAACAGCTGTAAATAGTAAACATAATATAGTTTTAATCATGTCCTCATTTATTCTGCAGTCTTAATGAAAATAAAATTACAGCACACACATTGTTTACATATATTTGATGATTTTCACTTTACCACAATGACATGCCACAAAGAGGTTGTCTCTAGTGTCTATACATATGCCCATGGGTTTTTTTAGATCACAGTTATCAATATAACAGAGAAACTGTCCGTCCTGATCTAGGATGTGGATACTGTGGTTAAAACAATCTGCTGTCAGGATTTGACTCTGGCTGTCTGTTGTGATGCCAAGTGGATCAAATGAACCCTTGGTAGCCGAGGGATTACCAGTGTATCTAAATCGAAATTTCCCCGCGAGATTATCCACCACTATTGCCTTGGCTTCCTGGTCAGCCACACAGATGTCCAGGTTCCTGTTCTCACTGACGTATTTAAGGTAACCAGATGAGTATAGAGGTTTACCTTCACTATCAAACTGAATGGAGATGAGGGATGACCAGTGTATCTAAATCGGAATTTCCCTGCCTGATTAACAACCACTACTGCACCGGCTCCATAGTCAGCTACACAGATATCAAGGTTCCTGTTCTCAATGATATATTTAATTTTGCTAAAGTAGCCAGAGAAAAACAGAGGTTTACCTTCACTATCAAACTGAATGGTTTTTTTCTCTTTGATGCCAGAGTAACGGACAACTTTTTGATTGTCCACGTTCACTGTACATCCTGAAGGTCACCAGAGAAGGTACTACAGACAACACCAGGTAAGGTCTCCACGCCTGTAGTCTGATCACTTCCTGTATCTGTTTATTCTTCACTATGTTTACGGTTTTTGTATCTGGGTCAGTATAAATTAGATCTCCACTCTCTGTCACTGTGATGTCACCTGGCCACTTTCCTGATTTGGTTTGGATTGACTTCAGAAGTTTGCCTTGGAGGTTGTAGAGTTTCATGATTTTGTCTTGTCCACATGTCCAGACTTCGTCATCACTTAAACATGTAACGCCTCGTAGGATATACCCTGTATTTTTCGTGGCAATGACCTCTGGTTCATCAAGCAGTGGTTTTTCTGGTGGACAATATACACCTTCTGGTGTCTCCAGTGAGAAGACATGATAAGATTTTCTCGAATCATAAGGCACCACTTCATGCTTCTTGGACTTGTCAGAGGTTTGTTCCACCATACAAATCTTGCACAGATTCATGTAACAAAAGTTACAGTACATTTGTACAACTCTGTCTTTACAGAAACCACATCTAATCATGTCCTGGGCACAAAATTTAGGATTCATATTAACAGATTCCCAAAAAAATTGTAAAATTTAATCAATATTATTGAATAATTAAACGTACAGACTATAGTGTAAAACAGCATGCACGTTAACATATGACATTGTGTGTTAAGAAGGAGGAGGAAATGTGATTTTTACCTGTTAAATCTTTTCCTTGTAACGGCGTGAACTAAACTATGGCTGCAATGATTTATCAGTAAAACAATTCATATGACTTTTAATAATCATAGATAAATTATCTTATACCACGCTTACATGAACTTTGATAGTAAACTGACTCGCTTTTGCTTTTATCTGTTTCTGTGTTGTTTAATTTTTTTCCCAATTTGATAATATTTATGTACATCATATTAGCTTGGTTGTTTACTATTGACCTGAAATGTACTTTTTGTAGTGTTTTACTATTAAGCATAAATTTTCAAGAGAAGATAAAAATTTTCACCATAAAAAACTGTGTACAAAATTTACCTTAAATACAACTTATAATCATTAGGCCAATATCTTGCTGATTAATGTAAAACTTTCCGGCAGAGACGTAAAATATCGATTCTTCAATTTTCTTTTTTTTTTATGTGTAATTTCATAAAACCAAAGGCAATTTAAAAAAAAATAGGAGTTTCAGTCTTGTGAATTACTTTGGGGGTATATAGTGATCACCTTGTCCATCTGGCTGTCCGTCTGCCATGTCCATATCCTTTCTTATGGTGGAATATTTGAATGTACAACTTCATACAAAAATTGTTCATGACCAGGGTGTGACATGACCTTAACTCAAAGTCATTTGGGCAAGTTCAAGGTCGTTGAAAGAAAATATTCATAATTTGGAATCAGTCCATATCTTTCTTTAGGATAAAATTGGTGGGTTCCTATTTTACACAAAGATTGCTTGACCCCAGGGGTGTCAGGCCTTGACCCAAGGTCATTTGTGTAAGTTCAAGGCAGTTATAGTTAAAGTTCATGATTCATTTCTGGGTCGGTATCTTTCTCATGGAGAATAATCTTGTGATGTTGAGAGTTTCATCTTCACAAAAAGGTTGCTTATAATTATGACCTGAGGATGTGCCAAAATCTTTACCTAAACTGTAGAAAACAAGATGTGTTTGTGAAACACTGATGCCCCTGTATGGCAACTTATACCAAAGGCTGAACTTTCTGAAATGCATATGTACATCGAATATGTTGGTTCCCAAAGTAAGGTGTTCTCACATGAAATACACTTGTGAAATATTAATAAAGAAATAAGGTATCATTTTTAAACATCTATCGGGATATAAATACGGGTTGGTCACGAGATTAAATTTCATAAAGCCCGAAGGGCTTTATGATGAATTTAATCTTGTACCAACCCGTATTTATAGCCCGACAGATGTTTTAAAATGATACCTTATTACTTATATTTACATTTGTGACTTATTAAAAGGTTGATTCTCTATAAGGCCATTTTCCGGCCTACGATAAAATCACTTTAAAATGTGATTTTATGTAACTATAATCATTCTAGTTCATGATTTTGATGTTTGTTTTTCAACATCGATCATCTAAGTCACGTGATTTAGAGATAAAAAATGGCCGTCAGTTAAAGAAAAATTGAGGATTGGTCTATTCAAATCAAGTTTTTTTATGTTTCTGAATGCAAATGATCAAAAATTGTTTATTTATGTAGGAAATACATCAGACATTAGTAATGAATCGGACGATTTGATTTTAAGGTTCAAGATATTTTTTATGACAAGAATTCCGATGCATGCTCATTTTGCATATTTCGAACGTAAATCTTTACGAAATTCACACTGTATGGTGCTAAAAAAAAGCATTTTATTAATAGTATTATAACATATATAATTATATTGTAATTGTATTTCATTTCTATAGATGTGTTACTTATTCTACGCATAAAATAACCATTTTAGAAATGAGGTTTCTAAGTTTCTATTGACCTATAAAAATTATGTATCAAATGTTGAAAGCACCGAGTGGATTTTGATTGTGATTAAGTAAAACTGAAGTAGTGATTAAGAAAAGAAATTCAACAATTGCAAAAACTAAAGAATTAACAGCATAAAAACATCAATGCAAGTACATGTTGACTATCCATATACATGTAAATAGTCAATACATATACATGTAACTCAGAGCGGTTGCATTAAAATATACATCTCTAAGTGAAATGAAATATCGTCGTAAAACGACTTTGCTTTTATTCAATTACTCGTGTTGCACAATATATTTAATTAAAATGCCATCTAAACTTTACGTATTTTTACATGTATAAAAGTTGAGAACCCCCCCCCCCCCCCCCCCCCCGTTTCGAACGGCACAACATAAAATGGAGTAGAATTTTAACAGTTCCTTCAACTATGCATATAAGAAATTTTCATTTATACTAGTATACGGACTTAAGATTCTACAACATCCCAGGTACAAAATGGACCATTAGGGATTGATGCTCTTTTCGCACTCTTGAAACCTATTCAGTCTCCTTCCCAGTGCAGCGTCAAAAAATTGTTTTACACAGATAGTGACAGTTCCCTACCTAAGTCTTTAGCATTTGAAGTAAATGTCATGGGTCTTTTGGATATTATCTTTTAAAAAAAGGTCCCGTCCCGCGTTAGGCGTTGGTCAGTAATGCAACTATGCATAAACACTCTACCTTAAGTGGACGATCTCTTTATCTAGTTGAAAAGTCCTTAAATGGGGTAAAGCAACATTCAATTATAAATTACATGTTACATATGGGAACCCCTCTCCTCCTTACCATTTTATTGTTTCTTAGACAGGACTACTGTTCTTGTAACTTATATCGATGCTATCAAAGAAGTGTGATGAATAGATTGAGTCCTCTCTATTAAGACCCATGCAGTTAACAATATATGGATCACATGTTACTCGTACGAAAGTGTCCATATAAAAATTATGTGTGTACCCATAGGAAAGAAGTCTATAATACAAATAGGAAATGCATTTTACCGCTTCAATAAAGATGGCTTTTATCATTTCTAGAACACATACAGTACTCATTAGGAAATACAAAGAATATATGCAATACTGATAACAGAATTCAAACAAGTAGCATATAAAGATAAACTAAACTATCATTATAGATATAAAAGATAACTCATATTCACACCTTATAGCCTACAAAAGTTTTCATTTCTTAATTTTTATTAGACATTTCAATGAAATGTCCCCACTTGTAATTTCATGACATCCAGTTTTCTCAGTCCTTTGATTTTAGATTTTTTAAGTAAAAATTTCACATTTATTTTTAGTAAATATGCATGGCTGATATAAGTCTTAGTAAATCATCAGAAAATTGTACTCTAACTAAAAGTTCATAAAAAGAAATAATCTACATAAGCTGATATCCTTCATTATGAGTAGTTAGTTTTTTCTGCAAATATCGTTAAAAATGAAGCGAAAAGTTTTTATTTGGATGTCATAACCACCTTTAACCAAATTCATAATTTAGTAGTCACTTTATATGTTGATTAGAAATTTACATGCAAATGTTGGTGTTGGTTAAAGGTGGTTATGACATGCGTACGAGTTATCTAACACAGCCACCCTCTTGAGTTTTCCCATTACTCTAATGCTAATACGGACCGACAGTACCTTACTTTGTGACCCTATATCAATAAAAATACTATTATATCATTAACCAACCGATATTTATCATTAAATTGGAACATAAGCCTAGTGATTTATGCAATTTTTAAGGGAAAAAATACTATTTGAAAATTTGAAGTCATTGTAGGCCGCAAATGATCCTTATAGAGAATGATCCTTTATATTTGTCTGATTGTGACTTTTAACGTATGAAATGCATTATTTTTCAAACCCAACGGCAACTATGTAATCCACTGAACACGAGTCGACCCTCCATGACGTCACTGAGAAATTACATCAAACGTTTATCCATACGCAAATCTATGACCTCTTGACCCCGTACCTGTAATCCTACAGTTATAGATTGCTTTTAGTAATGTTATAAAAAGGAAAACAGTTGCAAATGTAAATATAACCCATTAACTAGCACCACCTGATCATAAGTTATGGCCAAGGTTGATGCTTTTTCGAAAGTAGGTCAAACTTAAAGGTCAATGTCAAAGTTGTAGCTATATAAAGAAAGATCACATACCCCTAACCCTAAAAGAACTATATGCGGTATATTGCATATATTTGCTCCCACAAAAGTCAAATTTTGGAAACTTCCTGAAATGTGCTGAATTCATTAAATTGAATGAGAAATATAAATTAACAGAAAATATTATAGTGTCAAAGCAGTGTATTCACAATTTTTGTTTTTATGACGTAACAAACTAGTCCGATTTTATATCCTTTTTCAGAAAGAGGACAGAATTTCAACAATTTTAGCTTTAAAATTTATAGAGCGCAAGTTTTTTCAGGAACAATATTGACATATTTCATTGATATTATCATTCTACACATTATATCAAAATATTGATCCTGAACACACATGGGTTCGGTGACTTTTACTCAAAATATCGATGAAATATGTATATTTTTCTGTAAAATTCATAAAAAAATGAAATTTACGTCATGTTTATGACGTCATTACGTACATATGGCGTCATTACTTATGAAAATATTCAGTGCTTTGAAGTCAGCATATACTCCCCTGTTTAAGAACTTAATTAAATATATCTCTATCAAAGTTTGATTTCGGGGGCAAATATTGGTTATTACAGAATAAAGTTCTTTCAAAAGTTATGGTCAAGGTTAAAGTTTTTTTTGAAATGGGTCAAATTCCAAGGTCAAAATCAAATAGTCAACATAATTGGTACCCAATGAAGGGTCTTGTCACAATTACATGCGTAAATTATGAAAGTCCTAGCCTTGACCACTCAAACGTTATGGTCAAGGTTAAAGTTTTTTTAAAAGTAGGCCAAACTCCACGGTAAAAGAATCAATATTACATAATATTCATGCACAAATTAGAGGATTTAATAATATTAAATCATAATTATAACATCACTTAA